CATGTCAGTAATGAATGTAACTGTAATGTACGCCTAGAATGTACCAATAAACTCAATAAAAAATGAACATAACTGTACTGTATACCTAAAATGTACTAATAAACTCATGAGGAAAAAAAAAAGAATTTCAGCTAACTGTTGTGAAGGGTTGAGGGTGAAGATGGTTCTGGCTATTTCCAGCTGAAGAGAGTCATAGTTGTGATCAACAGTCAGAGTTGCAGTACACAGTGTCTATATAAAGGCCCTTCACAGGCACCAGACATTGTCATCTTGGCTAGTATTATACTTGGAGTCTGGAGGAGACACAGCCAAAGAAACTGTTACAAAAATACATATGCTAAATAATAAGGTCATAATAGGAATGCTATGAATATAGCCAATAAGCATAACTACCAGGAGGAACTAATAGCTTCCCACAAAGAGGATGAGGACTTCAGAATCTGACATAGTAGTCCCATTGTAGTTTGGCATTAATGAGCTGTTTACAAGGTTGATATGGTGAATCCAACTAAAAGAAGATTAACACATTTGTCATTGGTAGGACAGCTTGGAATTTGGCAGCTTTTAGGCAAGAAAAAACAAAATTTTAAATAAATTAGAGCACATATAATGTAAGCATGAGAACCGGAATGGAATGGCAGGTTGGGGAAAGAGTCACACTTAGACACTGGAAGTGATTATAACCTGCTAGCTTTTAAGTCTAATATTTTGTCATAAGTTTCTTGAGTTTTAGCTGTAAAAAATATGACAATTATAAGAACAATTTCAGCTAAGACATTTTAAAACTCTAGCTGAGCTCTTATAGATTTTACCATAATTTTTCCTAATGATCCATAATCATAGTTAGCTACTAGTGTAGCTGGAAACTGCCAGAAGGGGTCAGAGATTGGAGCTCCTTTTCATATCTAGCTTTATTACAATGGCATTATTTTTATAACACTTTTGGTTAGTCTGTGCTGGGTGTTTAAAAACAAGTTAAAGTGAGACCTGGGTCAATCACTATGAACCGCTTGCTGTCTATCAAGTTTTGTTAAGTCTCTTCAGGCAATATTTTAGAACTATGCATAGAGCCTCTCAGCTCATTTTTTCTAGTTAGTACTTAAAAATACAAATGACAGTTACTGATTACTATTTCTGTTAGTATAAGGCAAAACAGTTGTTTCAAGTTACCTTAGCCTGAACTAAGGAAGGAGGAGCAGTCTGATTGCAAGGTAATTCTCAAATGAATTCCAAAAGATTGGAGAAAACTTTAAGGGTAGTTTTTTTTTTTTTAACTCACTAGCAGACAGAAAAGGGTTAAGCCAAATAAAGTTCAATCCATTTAAACATTTACAAAATCAACATAGCACTCTACAACTCCATAGTTGAAGTTCCAAAGTCCACAGCCTATCAGCAATGTTTTTTTCTCGCCTACACACATAAATGATGAAAACCATGTCTAGAGGGAGAAATCATTCGGTGAATTTTTACTGTATCAAAGATTTGGTTTTACATTTGTCTAGAGGGCTGTCTTACTAGTAGAGAGTGAAGTTAAAGGCTGTAGCTCAACTCTAAACACAGGCTTAAGAAAGGGCAATGAAGAAGTCATTGGTTCACATCACTCTGCTACAGAGTGATCTGAAGATCACTGATAGAATGTACCCTAACCTCATGCAAGAACCCAGAGAATGATGCAATGTGGAGATTTTCTGCTGATTACAGGAATGAGCTGTCAGAGCTAGTTTCTTCTGAGGAACATCTGTGTATCTGCCATTGAGTAGCCCTAGCCATGACACTTCAATTGTCACCTAGGTTTAAACTAGTTCCATGAAATCAGTTATCTGTCTCTGAAAGGAACCAAATTGTCTACTGAGTCAATATTCTACCCAACATTGGCTTCAGTGGAAGTGGGAATTCACCAAAGGGCAACTGAAGAGATCTGTCCTCTGCTTTGAGAGTGACAGCTGCCCTAAAAGCAATTACTAGCTGGCAGTGTAGCCACCATTTATTTAGGATTCTATATGGGGCAGAATCTATATGGAGCACATCTCTTTATTTGAGATGATTTCATAAAAGATCCATTTTACGGAATTTTGAAGAAATTAAATCCAAAAGCAACATATGAAAAACAATAATAAAATGTAATTTAACAAAGGGGAAAGTGCATCATAAGAGGGATAGCAGTTTAGAAAAAATTTAAAACATACAACATAAAATTAAGGCATTTTTAAAGAAAAGCCAAAGGAAGGGCCAGAATTTATAAAACAAAAACTAGAATATGAAGCAAATGGCAAAAGCCTATGAAACAAAAAGTTGCAATCTATGAAGCAAAAAGACCAAACTTGGAATATATAAAAGAAAACTCTTATCTCTGACCAGTAATTCCAGTGGAAGACCTCCAAATGCATATAGGGGGAAGAGATGCAATTCCCAAACTTGTTAAGTATTCAAAGTGTGAGCTCCTGTTCTCTAAATTGAAAAAAAAACAAAATGAATTTTAGAAATAACAAACATTAAGAGTATTATATATATATACACATACTAGAGATAAAACAATTCAGGACCTTCAACTTGCAAGAAAGGCAGCATCACCACTGAGCTAAATCCCAAGACCCCACTGTTAGTATTTTTCTCCATATATTTTCAAATGAACATGTAATCTGATGTCAATTTGCAAACAATTTCATCACAATATTTCCGTATGAATTTTTGGTGGTCTTTTTTTCCCTTATATACACATACTAGAGATAAAACAATTCAGGACCTTCAACTTGCAAGAAAGGCAGCATCACCACTGAGCTAAATCCCAAGACCCCACTGTTAGTATTTTTCTCCATATATTTTCAAATGAACATGTAATCTGATGTCAATTTGCAAACAATTTCATCACAATATTTCCGTATGAATTTTTGGTGGTCTTTTTTTCCCTTTAATTTTACTGGTACATTTAAAGCAAATAATACAGTTACATTTATCGCTGGAATCTTGTACCTTTGCAAGGTATGTCTTGGTTCTTGTTTTTTCTCTATACCCCTGCCCTCCCCTCACCCCCTTCACCCTTTCCTATTTACAAAGGCTTTGTTTCCATTTTTTCCTTTTTTCACACTTTTTCTTTTCCCTTATTTCCTTTCCCCTCCCCCTCTAATTTCCCCTTTAGCCATTTCCTTCCTATTTCACACTCTCAATTATATGCTGGTCTTTTCTTAAATCAGGGTTCAAAGACATTCCTTAGATACATACTGGCAATTAGAAATGGTACACTAATATTACATGTTATAATTTTCAATAAAACATTAAAAAAACTTGAAAATGTAAACATTTAATATTTCTTTCAAAACTAAAGTTTCATTATTTCAGCTACTGCCTATTAAATTTGAGTTATTATTTTTTCATAAAGTGTCTTTATAACCTGTGAACAAAATATGGTGATTACTGCTGCTGGCTGCCATCCAACTGAAAGGCTGATTCATGAACACATTGTGGTGGGTCCTTATCCACTTCATTCAAAAGATCTGAAGAGCACAAATTCCAGAAATTCCTCAATGTCAAACCATGAAGAAAGCTCAGCCCCATGTGAGATCTCTCTCAGTATTTATTTAAAGCTGCTAATCTCTGAGACTATGTTGGATTCCTCCTATTGTGCCCCACACAAATTCAATTCCAAATTCCCCTTCTTCTGATGAGCCCTAAATGCCATTTAGTTCATAGGCTGGATAGCGATTCATTGTTTGACACCAACATAGAGTTTGGTGTAGTTGGAAAGCCAAAGAGGAGAGGAGTGGTCAGAAAGTTTGGCACAACACACTCTCCCAGAGGGGTGGAAAAGGAGAATATGCAAGCAGTTGCCCAGATTATTGCAGAGGAAAGGGAACAGATATTGAGGAAGTGCCTGTAGAGTTTGGGGTAAGATTGTTTGCTAGACTATATTTTCAGTGGTCAATCACCAACCCTGAGGCTTTTCATTCCCTCATAAGCAAGAGAACCAGTACTTGGTGGGCAATCATGTCAAGCACTGGTGCACACACACAACTTCCTGGTCCTAACTGTCAAGGACAGGAGCTCAGCCCCACACAACTGCTATGACACAAATTCTCTTCATATTTGAGTTGAGGGAGTAGAGTACATTGTTCAAATTCTGATTATAGTATAAGTAGGACTGAAAGGATTTTATACTTTTGAGGATTGTTTTGTATGTGGCTTTTTTTTTTTTCATCTGAAATCACTTTTTAAAAGAGCTATGGGGATTTGTATGCTACAAAGACTATAGGGATCTAAACTAATGCCCTTAGAGATCTGCACTAGGTTTTCTATTCTCAATGGTTGTTGCAGTAATTTAAATTAGTTATTTAGTTTTATAATACATTGGTATAAAATATTGATATTTTGTTTCAACCATTTCTTTTCTTTTTACTTACTTCCCCAGTAAGACACACTCAAATTTTGTCTTTCACCAATATTGACAGTGCAATATGTTTTTGTTTATTTTCTTTCTCATCATTCACAATTTTATCTTGTATTATTTATAGTAATGCCTAGAGAGTCAGCAGCATGTTAGTAATAGTGTACGACTGAGAGATCATGCTTTAATTTCTGTAGTCCCTTACCTAGGCACACTAAATTCTTCCAGGCAAAGTGCTGTTTTGTAGGGTGAGGTAATTAATTTTCTGATTCATAAATCAGACACAACCTCCCTGTAATTTCAGATATGTCCAATTTAAATGTCTTTCTCCTTGCTCTCCATACTTTCTTTCCATTGATGTCATGTTAAATCTCCTTCTCTCTCTCTCTCTCTCTCTCTCTCCCTCTCCTATACTGTATAACACAAATACTCTGCACATTTTATAATTTTATTTTATTTTTAATTTTTTCTCCTTTTCTTTCAATCTTAGAATATGCATGTAATGTATTTGCATATGAAATGGAGAAAAAACTGAATTATTGTTATACTTTCTATAGTAGGTTTGATAGTCATGTCAAATTAAACCTAAATAAAATTTGTGCATGGAGAATTCAAACTTAAGCTGTGGTAGACTAAGCTGCTAGCCTGTCCTAAGTAAAAACCAAACAGCCTCCATGTTGACCCGCTGATCACCCCACCACCACAGTTGTGTAGTTACCCATGACAACGGGTTTGCGCAGACAAGTGACCTGATCCGTTACATAGTAACATTGTGTTATACTATTGTTACATTCTCCTCCCAAAGTTTATGGTTAACTATTTCCTCTTACAATTTTGCGGTTTTTGCCTTTATAAACTGCCTGTATCTGCAAATAAATGAGACCTTGACAACTCTTTGCTTGGTCTCCTTCTTTCTGCGCCCCTCTTGTCTCATTTCCAGGTACTTCCCCTTCTCGAGCTCTGCCAATTACTGACCCCGCGGGCCGGGGCAAGTGGCGCCCGAACGTGGGGCTCGAGACACGGGGTCTTCACCTGGTGGATGCTGCTTGGAAGATCGGCCGATCGACTCATAAGCAGTCCGCTCAGACCCACGCGTCTGAGAAAGTGACTGTGCATAAGCAGTC